TAAATTGTACAGCCTGCTTTCAGAGTTGCTGATTCTTTGCATGCCCCACTTCTGTTGAGCACATCTGCTGAGACCTTTATTTCTGTTATTGCATCTTGCAGTTAGTGTGGACATCTTTCCTCATCCAAGTTGTGATTTCTCCTGGTTCTAGGCATGACGAGTGATTTGTGAACATATGCAGGACATTCTGGGTGTCATGCGGTGATGTTTGTGCTGTTTAGTGTTTGTCTTCACAGGGGTGGGTGGTGTAGGGGAGCGCCATGAAGTGGCTTGTTCAATTCCAGGCCTTGGCACCGTGCCCCTTCTCCTAGCCCGGACACCACGTTGCACCCAGCAGACGCCTATTGCCTCACACAAAGCTGAGCCCTGCACCCCCACCTGGAGAGCTTGCTGGGGTGGGGGGGGTGGGCAGAGCGCAGGGAGGGGCAGTTGTCAGGGTGGCCTCCAGGGGAACTCACAGACCAGGGAGTGGAACAGGAGGGGCTGCAGCAGGTCGGAGGTGTTGGGGGGAATCCTGCCCAGCTCCGACCGAGTGCGGAGCCCCAGCAGACCCCTCTGCAAAAAGAGCCATCTTCTTCTGGAGTTAACGGGAAGAAAACCCATCAATCTAAAAGAACAGCAGAAATTTCCTGAAGGAGCAGAAATGAACTCTGAAGGGAAGAGATTTTAGCCGATCTGATAGAGGCTTTTTAATCTGCTAGCTGCTATCTCAAAACTAATTTCCAAACAAAAAGAACAAAGAGGCAGCTGGGCCTTCAGAGACACTCAGGTTTTCTAACTGAAAAGCATCAGGTTGGATGAGAGTAAACACAGCATCCCCCTCCTCCTGCCGAGGACCTGCAGGGACACTGCTGGCCTGGCGGGTGATGGGCCTCGATCACACCCTTTCAAGCTGTTGATTTTCTAACTACCCTGTCCCAGCTTTTCTGGGTTCATAGCACAAGCACACCCTGGGAGGAAGGGCCTGGCCTGTGGCCCGTGGGGGTGGGGGCTGAGGAGTGAGAAGCGCATCCTGGCTCGGCCCTCCTTCCCCAGCCTCTGCTTCCAGTCCCCCTGGGAACCTTCCCCAGATTTGGCAGCCCCCCATGAAGGGCTGTGCACACCTGGGTGACAGCAAGAGCTGGGGCCATGGGCCATGGGGCGTCACCGCCCTGTTTAAGCCACAGCCACCTCGCGACCCTCTCTACCAGCAACACAGCCCTGTCACTGGCTGCGTCTCTCAAGGGCCCCTCACGGTGCCCAACCCTCTCCAGGGTGCGCATTATCTCCTAGAATGTGCTGGCCAGCAGGCACAGCAGGACCTGGGTGCCCTCCCCAAGGCACCTGCTCCCTCTCTTTCTGCAGGTTCCCCTCACGCTGCCAGCACACCACTGGCATCCTCTGCCCCACAGACGTGTCTGCTGCCAGACTAGGGCAGCCGAGGGCAGTGACCAGCTTCCACAGCGCCTGGACCTTCTGTGCTGCTCTGGAAACAGAACCGCCTCAGGGACAAGGTTTCCAGATGGACATGGACGGAGTGACCCAGGAAGTCGGGGGTAGGCCCGTGTCGCAGAGCCCTGCTGCTTACCTTCTCACTACTACCCGTGGACTTGGGGGCCTCGCTGAGACCCACGAAATCCGGAGACCCGCAGCCTGGGCTCTGCGGCCCTGTGAGTGCCCCACGGAAGATGCAGCCAGCCCCAAGGCATGGTGGGGGAGGGCAGCCTTCTGCTCATCGGGCAATGTCTGCCCAGGCGGGAGCCTCTGCCAGGCCCTGCTCACCTGGGCCTCCCCACTGGCCTGGGCCTGGGCCAGCATGAGGCCTAGTGGTGGCTCCGTCTCCCTGGGGGCCCACCGCTGGAATGCCCAGGATAGAGAGTTCTCTCTCTCTCTCCCTGAGGCCTGACCCCATGTGTCCTGTCCAGAGGACGGAGCTGGGGGGCGACCCCTTGATGCGTGGACAGTCTGGTCACTGAGGCCAGATTACTAATTAGCAACCAAGGTGAGGCGGAAGCAACAGCCCCAGTCACCCCGGCGCCCAGCAAGGGGGCTAGAAACCCGTACCCACCGAGGGGTAAAGTCGGTCTTCAGGCGTGGATGCCTGCTGAATCAGTTTTGAAATTCTTGACTAGTGCTGTGCCGAGTCTCAACAGTAGCGCCCCGCTTTTTTTTAAAAAGGAAAAACAAAGATGCTTTTTCTTCCAGAATTTCAGATCATTGGGGGAAAAAATCTGTCCTTCAGGATAAAAATATGCTTCATTATTTCTGACGACGAAGACCCTGGAGGTGATGGGCTTTTCTCCTTTTTCACTCTAGCTGCCAGCACGCTTCTGGTGAAATTTTAGGTTTAGTCCCCCAAATATGTCAGTTATTGGAATGATCAGGTTTCGTCTTCCATTCTCCCATAGTTCTTTGCTTTTTCCTCAGGTATCCCTGTCCCATTCATGTACAACAAAGCTCATCCTGTCCCAAGCCTTCATAGAGTCAAGGTAGGGACCTGTAAGTAGTGCTCTCAGAAAAATCTTCCTAGAACAATAGTCATAACCCGTTGTATGCTTGGATGGTGGGATTCCAGGGGGTCCCTTAGGAGAGAGGCTGACAGATCGAGCCACCACGCGGCTGCACGTATTGCGAAAGGACCAAGGTTCCTCCTGGTTTTTTTCCTCAACACAATTGGAAAACTGAGCCCAAGAGAAGGGAGAAGACTTGCTGGAGGTCACAACCTAGAGTGACGTCAGAATTGGAGCGAGTCTTCTCAGGGCAGGTCTGGCTGTATCTCACCACAGACCCACCCTTTACAAATGGGGAGACGTAGGCCCAGAGGAAAGCAGCTGCCAATGCCACTCCACGACCAGACTCCCCGAGACCTCAGAGGAAGCACACCTTCTTGAGCTGGCCCCATTACAGCATGCTGAGGCTTGCGAGGCCAGGTGGAAGGACACTCTGCCCGATTCTTTGCCACGTAAGTTGGGGCAGGGTTCAAGCTACAAAATAGCCAAAACTGTAGCCCAGAGAGGTGTGCGAACCGGCAGCTAGAGGAGGGGATTTGGGAAAAGCATCAACAGGCAACTTAGGGCCTTCACTTTCAACCACCTGGGAGCCCTGCCCCGTCAGCCTCCGACCTGACCTGGCACTGGCTGGACGGCGTCCCGGATCGCCCTTCCTTCTGCTTGAGTGCACAACATGCTCTGAGCGGCGCGGCGGGTTGTGCCAAGGCCCCACGGGCCCAGTGTTGGGCGACAGGCCTGGCAGCTTAGTCTAAACACTTCCCAGGGTTCTAGACTGCGGCTCTGGCAAGGGGCCCAAACCCCTCCCCCACTGCCCTGGTCTTGATGCTGCAGGAGACTGTTTAGAGCGCAGAGCCTCAGCCAAGGGAAAGATACCACTACAACCGCCCCTGGAAAATGGAGACTTTGTCATTTACTCCATTATAATTCAAGAAATAAAATATATTTCCGGTGATTAACTGAGTCTATTTATAGACTGTGTGGCCTGAACTATGATATTTATAGAATGTCATCACATTCAGCAGTAATAGCACAATTACATGTTTATGAAGTAATGGTTTCGCAATTTTTCCTAGAATTCTCTGACATTTAGATCTGGAAATTTTACATTTTAACAAGCGAGAACAGCAGCTATTTATTTAAGGGTGAACAGCAGAAACTGTCTTCTCTGTAAGTCCTTTCTCTCCCTGAGCCTGCAAATCCCCAATTCATTTTGCTTTTCCAAATAAGATGATGGACGGCGAATAATACACCTATTTTTGTGGCGTCCTCATCTCCCTCTTAAATGGTGCCTTTCATTGCTCGGTGTTCTCACATCCCGATTCTTCCTCCTTGAGAGCTGGTGTTGACGGGCTTGTCCTCTTCCATGACGCGACCTCGTGCTGGAGTGTCCCTCCTGGCTGCCACTCAGACTCCAAGCGTGGGCGCGCACGCGGAAGCCCTGTGGACTGCTGGGCAGGGCTGTCACTGGGCAGGAAGGGTGTCCACTTCACGGGGCTCCGGCCAGAGTGTGGCCCCCAAGCCCCTTGACCTTCTAATTCCAGGCAAAGATCGGGGGCCCCTGGCTGCCAGGTGACGAGCTGGCGGCCCTGGTCGGCTCTCATGGTGTTCGTCGTTGGTTGACTTAAAACTTAAGGTCAAAAAAAAAAAAAAAACTTAAGGTCGTGGTGTAACAGAATGACTGACTTCAACTTTCAGCTGGCTGTAGGAACGATCCACTCTTCATCCTCCTTGAGGCCCATTTTCGGCTCTTGTATGGAGGCATCGACTATTCATAAAACGTAAAAGTGAGTGTACCTACAGAAATCAAGGAGCCAGCTTCTCTGGCCCTCAGTTTCCCCACTGATGACGTGGGAAGGTAAGTCCCTGAGTCCCCCTCCAAGAAAGCGGACGTGAGCCTGCTTTGCAAATGGGAAGTGCTTTCTGGGCACATGGGGTCCTTGGTGGGGCCTTCTTGTCACCCTGTTGTGCTGAATGGCCAAGACCCCTACAGGCTGTGAGATGCTGAACAGCAGCTCTCCTTTTGTGGCGACACTGTCCCTTGTCGTCCGACATCTGTCAGTTTACAGGGCCAAGGACCTGGTGGGCCTCAAATCACCAACTCGGAGAGTTGTGCCCATTGGGGGGAGCAGTGGGTGCCTCTGGCCCTGAATGCTGAGTCTCCGGACACGTGTCCCTCTGGAGCCCAAGGCAGGAGCCAGCGGGCTGGGGTTCTAGCCTTACCCGTCGGCCCCTGGGGCCTCTGCCTCACTTTCTGATACAGGGGGAGTCTGGGCTTCACATGAAGCCGTCACAGCGAATTCAGCATGCAGTGACCAGGTGACGACCCCTAGCAGGGGTGCAGACCAGCTGCTTTGTGTTCCTGCTGGTTCTGGGAGGTGGCGCTGCCATGGTGCCCCATTAAATATGGAAAGAGAGCTGAGGCCAGGGTCCTGGTGGGGACACGCAGGGACTCCTCCGAAGTCACACAGCAAGACGGATGTAGCGGCAACAGCGTCTCCACACCGTGGAGCCTCAAGCCTCTGCAGCCTCCTTTGGTGAAGATGCTGGTGCTGGAGGAGGGGCCAGCTGGTCACAGGTCCCCACAGGATGGTTGTCCTGCAGGCGGAGGGAGGAAGCCACCTTGGGCACATCTCCACACCAGCCCATCTGTAGCTGGACCCCCGTGAAGGACCCTGGGCAAAGGGACAGACAGGTGTCAGGAGGGGTCCCAGCCACTCCCTCTTCTTGTGGTCCCACATTCAAGGCCTCCAGCGGTGACCACCTCGGTGGTAGCCGAAGAGACTGCCCAGCCCTTCCCCAGCTGCTGCCTCCTCGCGGCTGCCTGCAGAGTCCACGTCGAACTCGGTGTTAATGATTAACGCACAGCAGTGGGGTCGCAGAGTTGCCGCGAGTCCTGTGTCCAAGAATGAACCGCATTGCTAAATCAGCGAAGACAGTTGCCAAGGTAACCCCCATGTAATCTATTTAACCGGCTCCCCAAACACCAATCAAGGTCAGATAACGCACTCGAGCACCATATGAACACACTCAGACGGCATCAAGCTTTGTAGCAAGACAGCAGGGAAGGAAGAAACCTCATTAGGAAGAAGGGGGGAAGCACCCTAAATTTCATTTTGAGAAGTGTTAATTGGGAACGCAGTTGGCTCGGGTGGGGGCTGAGTCCAGCACTCAGGGCATGTCCTGGCCACGGAGGAAGCCGTTTGTTAAAAGCAGGCAGTCTTCCCACTTAGGTCCAAACAAAAGGCACAGCAGACTAAATTATTCATCCCATCGAGTGTTTTCTTAATGCAAAGGCTTGTACTTACAGCGTAGCCTAACGAAGTGGTTTTGCTCTGTTTAGGGTCCTCTTCCCTGCCTGGCCTGTCCAACCTGTAGCCCCTCCTGGCGCTTCCCAATAGGTCTCAAATTTTTAAAAGACTCAGTGGGAGGCGCCACCGAAGCGCCTTTCCTCACCCTTCTCTCCCGACCCGCCACTCTGGCAGCCTCCCGAGGGGGTGGCAGGAGGTGGGAGCCCACTTTGTCGACTTGCTGCCCCATGTCACCTTGTTCCAGGCTCCTATAAAAAGCGTCCTGCTCAGCGGGTGGGGAGAGAGAAGGCGAGGCAAGGAGTAGGGACCAGGCTCCCCTGGCTCCAGAGAGACATCCACAGCCCTGTCACCCATCGCTGTCCTGGGCTAGCACCGGGCCAGAAAGTGGCTGGCCTCCAAGAGCAAGTCTGAACCAAACGCCCAGGACTCTGCCACCATTTCGGGCTGTCGGCGGCCGTCGCAGGGTGCTGGCCTGCTCCATGCCTGTGCTGGCCGCTCTCAGCCACTCCCAGTCCGTTTCCCACAGTGCCGTCACATGCTGGACCTGCTGTAGGGTCTCAGGAAAGGTGACCGGATTAAATGGTTCACCTCCTCGTGGACCGTGTCCTGACGCCTGACTCCTTAGCCCCCAGTACCTCTTTTGCCCTCTCCTCAGAGGACACGAAACTCTCTGAACCACCAGCCAAGGGCGTGGGGGTCAAACATTGTCTCTGAAGAAGAGAAACTTTGGCTCTTTATTACCCAGAGGTCCCGCCCAGTCTGGGTGTCTGAAATTCATGTCCTGACCCTTCTTTCTCAAGTGTGGTCAACGTAAGGAACCCCATAAAGGCTCTGTGAGAGGTAGGAGCCCTGGCGGCTTTCTCAGAAAATGAGCAGACGTGAATGTGTGTGTGTTTGAGCACCTGGGCAAATAGCTTTCGAGGAGGCTGCCTTTCCACGAAGGTGGATAGAATGAGATAGCGGAGACTTGGCCAGTGGGTTACTGTTAAGATCCACTGCGAACTGTGTGGTGGTGGCCATGGCCGGGCTTAATGTGCCCTTCCACCGGCACATTCCACCTCTTAGCCATCAGCTTGCTGGGCACTGAAGGCCTTTGTAAAGACAGGTGCATGTAGAAGCTGTCAGACCAGCGGGCAGGCCACCCTTCTCGAAGCTTCCCAGATGGAGGGCTGGAAGGCAGGTTTGGTGCACTCGCTTCTGAGACGGGGCATCACAGCAGTTCTCTGTTTCAGTGAGGCCCCTAGGATCCCTGCTGCCCGACGGGGGGAGATAGGAAAGGCCCCTCACCTTGCTCAGTGTCCTTCTCTCCCAATGGCCGTCTCTGTTTTCCCTCACTTGTCGCTCTATGGCCTTTTGATCAATGACAGACTGAACGGATGATGGCCTGTGGCCTATACCATCCTGCCCCGTGTGAAGGGGCTGGACCACCCAGGCATCTGTAAGTTACTCCATGACGTTCGAATAACGCTTCATGCTGCATTTCTCACATGGGTCCTGGTCATCAGTGACACTTGATAAACTATATGATAGAATATTATTCACCCTTATAAAGGGCAAATATTCCGACACGTTACTACCTGAATGAACCTCCATGACATTGCATTAAGTGAAACAAGCCAGTCAGTCAGAAAGGACAAATACTGTAGGATTCCACTTCCAGGAGGTCCCTAGCGGGGTCAGAATCATCGAAACAGGAAGTCGAAGAATGGGGACCAGGGGCTAGGGAGTCGGGAGAGAAGAGGGAGGTGATGTCTAATGGGGACAGATTCAGTCGGCAAAGGTGAGAAAGATCTAGAGGTGGATGATGGGCGGTGGTGACGGCTGCCCAGCCCCGTGAACACACTCATGCCACAAAACTGGGCATTTGGAATCAGTAAAAATGAGAATTGTAGGTTTTGTCTGTTTTCCTACAGTCAACAATTGTAATGAAAGATCCCACTTGGAGCTGCTTGCAGACAAGAAGGAGCTCACAAATCAGGTCCTGTTTAGGTCACCCCCACCCCACACACTCCAGCCAGGGACTCCTTTATTTTGAAAGCTCTTTCAGCAGGGCAGGCGGCGCTCTTGGACGATGCACAGAGGACTCAGCGCACCGGGGGTGTGAGTGCCCAAGTGGGCTCCTCTTCGTGGAGTGGAGTGACACCAGCCACGAGGCTGGCGGCAGAAAGCCTGGGCCCGGCCTCAGTCTCGTCCTTGCGGGGAGGGGCAGGAAAGGCAGCCCCATGCCAAAGAGCAGCCTCTACTCCCAGCAGACAGAAAGGTGGGGACCCGGCCCAAGACTGGGGGTCCGAGTCTGTGACCATTCATGCCTGGGCCCCTGGGCTACACCACCAGGCTGCCACTCTCGGTTGAGCGCGCCCCTCCTCCCCCCGCCACTTGGGTCACGGCCAGGCTGCTCCCACAGAGTGAGGCTGGAAAAGTGGGCAGCTGCTGGCCCGGGAGGTGCCATTTTGAGGCCTGTGGAACTGAGTTGTCTGACACAGAAACCTTCTCCCCCTAGACAGACTTTCGGCTGCTACTCTGGCACCAGGGCAAAGCAGATGAAGAAACGGAGGCTCATGGGGGAGGTGATTGCCCGAGGTCATGGAGCTGCAAGGAGGGCCAGCGCCCCTAAGTTGAGAGCTCTGGTTTGCTAGCCACAGTGGTATCCTCCCCCAACCCAGCCATTTGGTGGCGACCGTCTATTAATAGCACAGCAGGTCCTCGACGAAATATCATTTTATAAGATGCTGTTTCCTCATAGTGTTGATAAGAGAAAACACTGGATTCGGGTAGGGTCTCTGTCTGCATGGAGTGGGCACGTCCCCCCCACATCTCTTTGTCCAGGTTCTGGGGTTCCTCCCCACATCCCAAAGATACACAAGAGAGATTCCCGGACGTGTCCCAAGTCCCAGTCCCCGCGCGGCTGTGGCTGTGAGCGCCCCATGGTGGTGGTGAAGGGCGGCCTGTCCTAGGCGGGGTCCCACCCCCCAGACCCTGAGCTGCCAAGATTCGGCTCCGGCCCCCTGAGACTTTGGACTGGGTGAAGCAGGTTGGAAGACGAGTGGATAGATGGGCAAAATGATAGTTTCGTATTACAAGTGTGCTGTGTCTTTAACGTAGAGGGAGGCCTGGTGTTTCTCTGACTGGAAACCTGCCACTGGAACTGAAGTGTTGCTTGTACCAATTAGCTTATGGTCAAGTGGGTTTCAGTCTACGTAGTTGCAGTTAAAGTCGCAGTTTCCAAGAGTCTATTGACGACGTTAAGTGAGGACTGATGACAAATCACATCAGGCACTGCGCAAAGGGCTTTATGTGCACTTAATCCTCACAATCCTGGGAGGTGGGTGCTGGGTTTACCTTGCTTTTAGACAGACAAGGTGCCTCAAAGAGATCCACTTGCTGGAGTCACACAGCCAGGAAGTAGGGTGCTGGGATGCCACCCTTTGCCTGCTGAGGTTCAGAATATGTATTCCTACACAAAGAGTTAGCCTCTCCAGAATTCCTGACAGACATTTTCCCTCAGCACTGTGTCTCCTTGGCAATGGCAAACTGAGTCCTAGTCCGGTATGTCTCCCTGCACACATTCCCAGCTTAGCGCAGAAATCAGGGTCGGGGCCCTCCCGGATGGCACAGCGGGTTGGAGCGCTGCACTGTGAAATTAAGCCCAGACGTGGCTGCTTCAGTGAGAGTTCGATCCCCATCCTGGAGCTGACCCACATGGCGTGGCAGACCTCTCCTGAGCCGCCCGCTGCTCCCCTCAGCAGTGTGCTTCGTCAGTCGGTCTGTTCTGCTCCCCACTGTCTCTGGTGAATCCTCTCGCCGCCCCTGCACCTCTGGCCTGTACCCCAGTTCTGTGCGCATAAATAAATGAAAAATCTTAAAAAAAGAAATCAAGGTCAAAGAGGCCTTAAAAAAAGCAAGTTCTAGAAGCTGGGCAAAACAGGCCAGCGGGTGCTGATTCCTGGCTCTCAGCAAAGTTAACACTAAATAAGCATTTCTCTGGCAGGCACTGAGGATCCTAAGTGACCTTTTTTTTCTACTTTGTTTATTTCTAAAAAGTGAGGTGTAACTTATGAACTGTAAAATCACCCTTTGAAAGTGTACAGATTTTAGTAGATTCACAAGGTTGTACAACCACAGACATTATATAATTCCAGACCTTTCCATCAAGCCAAACAGAAACCCATTAGCAGATAGCTCACAGTACCCCCAGGCCCTTGTGGCCACAAATCTGCTTTCTGTCTCTAGGGCTTTGCCACTGGGATCATATCACACCTGGCTTCTATTCTAGAAGGTTGTGGTATGCCATATTTTGTTCATATTCATTTGTTCATGGAATTTCGGCTCCTTCCACAGTTTGCTGTTACAAATAATGCTGTTGTGAACATTTGTGTACAAGTCTTTGCGTGGACATGCTCTCAGCGCTCTCGGGCCTATTCCCAGGAGTAGAATTTCTGGGTCATATAGTACCTAGGTTTAGCTTTTTGAGAAACGGAAGACTTTGTCTAAGTGGCTGTACCACTTCACATCCCAGCAGCCACCTGTGGAAGCTCAAGGTCTCCACACCCTCACGTCGACGATTTTCCTTCTTTGGAAATGGCAG